CCTTGAAATTTTAAAGTGCAGGTAAATCAGGTATTTGTAAGAAGGGTGGTACCAATGAGAACTATATAGAAGAAAACTAAGGAGCATTTGACACATTGAATAAAAAATTGAAAAAATAAAAACTAATTTGAAACAATTCAATTTTATCTTTTGTCTGGTACCCTGAGGGTTGAGAGACAGAGCGTAGAATATTTTTCATTTGCGTTAAAATCATGGGTAAGTTGAACCTTGAGTAAGGTCACAGCTAGAGCATGCGAGGTTACGGCAGAGGAGGTAGGTAGAAGGTGAGGTCAGCTATTTATTATTGGAATAACTCTACGCAAACACAAAGAGACAGTTGTGGGGGTAAGAGGTGGTTTATTTTACATTAGAATAAGTCCATCCATTAACAAAAGAAATAGATGGATTGTATCAGGGGGCATAGAAAGATAAACGGGGAGGGGGCGGTCCACAAAGCAAATTTGATGGAGGCTGCCTTTTCGCTGACTGCTTTGACTAAATATGCCTTGATGCATTTAATTTGCTGTGTTGTTTACCTGACTGAGGGCAACAAAATAAAGCCACCAGGAAAGTTAATGGCAATCAACATGTCGAAAAACAAGTTGAGATTGATTGTCACTGATCCAAGACTAAGAAATGGGCCAAGTTAATAGATTGTATTAAGAATGCTTGGAGTCTGTATTTGTTAGTTTTGAAACATATGGACAGACAAAAAAATTACTTCCCCCACTGCAATTTTACTAACCTTTAATGCTGTAAAATCCTATGAAGCCCTGTTTTGTTATAGAAAAATCTGATATAAAAGCAATATGCAATGCCCCTTTTTTCGTAGTGAGAACACCTGGAGCAGACTTGGTCTTTTGGACTGTTTCCTTTATAGATCTTCAAATAATCATTTGGACAGCCCTCAACTTCATATTCTGTTATACTGTTGTGGGAAATGGGGATAACTTTTTAAGTTTTTGCATTCACAGGGTGTACTTATACCTCAGAATTTCTAGAGCTCTATGCATTCTAACATACGGTATATATATATATATATATATATATATATATATATATATATATATATATATATATATATATATATATA